AGAGCTCCAAGCTGCAACAGACGATTTCAATCCTGGTAACAACTTACCATAACCTTTTTCTCTTCCAATGTCGTTTGGCTTCTGCAACAAACGTTGAACGTTCTCAATTTTTTCTGGCCAAGAAAAACCCAAAATATATTTTCTTAAAATTAAATAATTAATTGAATGATTTAGGTTTCTTTTGGGTCATTGTCCGCAGTCACGAACGTAGTTCGGTCAAAAAGGCTGTGTCCTCTGCAGTCTGCTCCCTGTTCAAAAAGTCAGGTCGTACACTGATATCTTATTTCAGTCAATCTAACCATCATCATGTAAAGTAAAGATATGAATATAATATATTTGATAACTGAAATTATTAGTGTATATTTGTTTAGTTGTTATACTATTGTCTGATCAACTTATTTTTTGTTGACTTGTTTTATTATAAGATGCGGATAGATAAAAGATTCAAACTGATGCCATTTTATTTGTCAAGTGACCTTGTTTGTTACTCGTTCAAATGATCACTAGTATGATGAAGTTTTCTTTATCTTGTATGATAGAATAAACACATAAACCAATAAAACTTCAACGCAAGAATGTTCCTTTCTCTGTTCTTTTTGGTGATAAAGAATGTTTCTTTGTTTTTCATTACTAAGAATAAGTATCTAGATTTGTCATTTGTATTAAAATATTGAATGTGTTTCACTCCCCAAAAAAAAAAAAAATTAAAAATTGAATATGCGGCTTGAGGAGGGGGACGGGATGTGGATTCTTTTATGGAAACAGTTAACAATTCATTATCAATGGGAATTGAGTATACTAAAAGAAATTAGTTTTTCACATGATAAATTAAAGTTCAAGTTTCCATTAAAAGAAATGTAATATTCAGCGATTGATAATGTTTTGAATAGAAAATGCTTGCTGATAATGTAAAGAGAGAGAGAGATGTGTAAAAAGTATGAGATTCATTAAAGAGACAACGTTGAGATAATGAAGTGACAAATAATGTTGTACTAAGCTCACATGAGTAGTGCCGTTGAGTGGGGGGTGCTGAGTCTGACCCCATCAAAATAAACATAGGCCTGCTCTGTTTGCTTTCCCATGCCAATCAGACTAATCTCTCATGTGAGATGTGACGGACATCACCCAACTTCCAACTGATCCATGTATCGTTCTTCATTTTTGCTTTCCTGGTTAATTTAGCAGCTTTTAGGGACCATAAATAATCCTACATTTCTTTTCTCCTGAATACTGGCTTTCTTAGGCAATTTTTTTTTTTGTTTCTTTGCATTTCTTTACTTCTTTTAGTTTTTATTACAAGACACTCTCTAAAAGAGATCGACAATTCTTAGCACGCACTTAATAGGATATTAATTACATATTACATCTATTTAAACTCATTAATTAGAAAAAAAAAAAAGAATGTAATGTTGGAAATTTAAAATTTTCTCATTTAAATATAGGTAATATTAAAATTTTATTCTTTTTTAGACAAAATTAATGCTTTAATTATCTCTTTTTTTATTCTGATGAGGTGATTAAACATGCCTTATAATAAAGACTAAATGACATATACATGTCTATTCATAGAGAGAGGGAAGATATTTTCGTTTTAAATATAGATTTTAAGTTTCTTACGTAGATGTTCTATACATATTAACCTATGACGAAGTCGGAACACAACTTTTGGGGATGCGTGTATCATGATGTAGCTGCCTTCTCTTGTGCCCCAATTAACGGCGTCAAAAGGATTGTGTGCTTTAATACCTGTATATGTATGTATTCTTGCAGTATGCTTGTAACTGGAACTAGGGTTAGGCAATTTAGTTAGTACCTGTACTTTTCAAAGTACAGGACGAGAGATCTCTGATCCCAAGGCCAATCAATTTGTTGAACTATAGACCTAATACAATTTGACCTGTAAAATCCCAAATCATAAACTAAGAGCAAGCCGGCCGTCAAACTTCCCCTACTTTTCAATGCATTTTGTGAGTTTTCAAGTTTGGGAGGCCATTAGTCAACAAGTGATTTCAATTAGCGAAGACTTCAGGTTCCAAAGCCGTTGACGACAAATATGGGGGGACCTAAAGGAAGTTTTCAACCATCGAATTAATTCTATCTTCATTCTACACAATACAACCCACTAAGTCGAACATCACAGTGAACTTATTGTCTTAACCCTGAAGGTCTGTTTCGTTGGACTCGGGGAGTTTTTACTTTTTAGCTGGAAAAATGGAGGGGAAGGCATTGAACCAAACACTACGTAATGAGTGTATTCTCAACCCACTGACATATTCAATTCAAAATAATTACCCACTCATGCTTTTGTGTCCTCTAAAACTAGAGAAACCCCACCATTTTTTATGTAGACGCCACTCTGACATCACTTTTGTGCTTTGTATAGAGAACCTGATTGGGCAAGGTGGGCATGCTGAAGTCTACAAAGGACGCTTACCTGACGGTCAACTTGTGGCAGTGAAGAGGCTCATGAAGAAAGAGAAGCAAAATGAGGACAGAGCGGGTGATTACTTATCAGAGTTGGGAATTATTGCCCACATAAACCACCCAAATGCTGTGCGCTTGATTGGGTTCGGGGTCAACAATGGTTTCTACTTTGTCTTGCAATTAGCCTCAAATGGAAGCCTTTCTTCTCTGCTCTTTGGTTCTCCCTCAATCTCTTCCTTCTCCTACCTACAACTGCTTTTCCTGGTTAGGACTTAGGGTAGACTCCACATTTTCTTTCACCAGGTCTCAGATTTTCCACATTTCAGGTTCTGAATGCTTGGAGTGGAAGATAAGGTTTAAGGTTGCTATTGGTGTGGCACAGGGCTTGCGATACCTGCATCATGATTGTCAAAGACGAATCATACACAGAGACATCAAGGCCTCCAACATATTACTAAACGAAAATTACGAAGCTGAGGTACGAGGGTAGATTCTGCATGAATATAGTACTAGATTCTGTTCAACAATTCCGGACGGGGCAAATGATTCCTTGTGTTATAAACTGCAGATTTCAGACTTTGGACTCGCGAAATGGCTCCCAGAGAAGTGGACTCACCATGTCGTCTTCCCCATAGAAGGCACATTTGGGTCAGTATTGTTGGCAGCTAGCCTCAGGATTTTCTACATCTTATTACCAATGCCAACTCATTTTCTGACGCACTGGATCCATCTTCAGGTATTTGGCTCCAGAGTATTTTATGCATGGAATTGTGGATGAGAAGACTGATGTATTCGCCTTTGGAGTTTTGCTGCTGGAGCTCATTACAGGTCGTCGTGCAGTTGATTCATGCAGCAAGCAAAGTCTTGTCCTCTGGGTAAGGCCTGATTGTCCCTGTATCCAAGAATTCAATCTGTTTTACTCAGTTTCCAAGCTAAAATGAGATACTCAACATGGCCAGGCAAAACCACGACTAGAAGCACACAATGTGAAGGAATTAGTAGACCCTCGATTAGGAGAAGCTTATGATTCCATTGAATTGAAGCGGACCATGGTTACTGCTTCCATGTGTCTCCACCACTCATCCCCACACCGTCCGTACATGAAACAGGTAAAAAAAAAAAAAAACCCTTTCCCTTGCAACACAGTTCATTTTGCATGTGCATACTGAATAACCGCACCTTTGGGAAATATAGGTTGTGCAGCTGCTGAAGGGCGAAGAGGGACTTGCTGATATGAAGCAGAAATCAGTATCAACAAGATCTCTCTTGCTAGATGCCAGTGACCTAGAAGAATATACTTGCTCAACTTACTTGAACGATCTTAATCGTTACAGGCAACTAGCGATGGAGTAATAATGCTGCGTAATCCTTGTGCTCTTTAATGAGGGGTTTCCTGTTTGCTTTTATGTAAATCAAACCTATGGGGTGATCTTGGTAAATGATAACGCCTTGTGTAGGTCAGCCAATGTCACTAGCCTCAGTCTCAGTTGAAGCTTTCAAGTTTTCTGAAGGAGCTTGAAATTTGGCATGAACTTGTAACGAGCAGTAACAAAGAAGCATGGTTCAATCCACACGAAGCACCGAGTGGCCTGAGAAAGGGGGGGAGCTCACTGTACATTTACAATTTTCATTATGACCCAGAGAGTGTTTGTAACTCCGGTACTCTGCAGCCCACAGTGCTAATTTCAACATAGTCCATCCCATCTTAATTTCTATCCATCAAAGACCTTCATCTAAATATATCTATCTTTTGCAATTATGCAAAGACGCAAACAATCTTGTTTTTGAAAAATAAATTTCATCTTCTAGAGAGATTTCTCAATCGCATCGCATCTTCCCCTAACATAAATAAATAAATAAACAAGTGGTATTTTAATTTTATTACAATGGATAAAACGATGATATGCTGACGCTATTATTAAACAACTTGAAATTCATTTTCAGCATTTTACAAGAACAAATTAATAATGATTCTCAGCATAAAAAAAGATTCTTCATTCAAAATTTGTTCGAGCAAACAAGTACTCAGAATTCAAAAGTGACGGTAGAACTTTGATCTAATTAATAATATAGAGATGATACTACCATACCATACCATGTCCTTGTCAATTGTCATTCTTAATATGGGAAATTTTTTTTTTTGGTACAATTAATATGGGAAATTTGGAGCCATTACATTCAACCTTCAACTAAAAAAAAAAAACAAAGAAAATCTCTTTTTCATACTAACTAAAAAAATTCTGCAATGGAAAAAAAAATCACAAGGGCACCCATTTTTGTTCATAAATGGCCTGTGGATAGAAATGATCCAAGGGTGCTCTCGGCCCAGCCCAACAGTAAACATGCAATGGGGCCAGTAGATTTATAATTTTACACAATAAAATCCTTTCGGACATCCAATATCACTGGGGACAAAAAAAAAAAAAAAAAGGGAGATATGAGGAATAGATACAGGGATACCTTTTGTGCTAATTCAATAGCCCAATGCAACGCAAAGCCCCCACGGTGACAGTTCAAGGCTTTAAGCTATATCTTGCATTGACAAGGCAACCTCCGTACCACACTGCAAACCTCCGATGGCCAGAGAGTTTATGCTTCAACTGGCCTTTCTAATCCTAACTTTGTCTATTCTTTACGTTGTGCACAATCTTCGCAAACGGCCTCCTCAACTCAGGTTTCGCAACAGAACCCGAGATAACCACCAATCGAACCGCCATCTCGTCCAGGGATCCCGCCTCCTGGCTCGAGCCAGATCCATCTCCCAGAGACCTCAAACGATGGCCCATGCCAGAAACGCTATAATTGAAGCAGACCAAGCTCTTTCTCTCTCACCCAGGGACCCCGCAGCTCACATCCTTAAAGCTCTCGCTCTCGATCTCATGGGTCACCGCACTGCTGCACTCAGGTCTATGGACTCCGCTCTGTCCACGCCGCACGTCAAGTCACTATCGGCGGCCGAACACGTGGACGCACTAGTGAAGAGGGCGGAGCTGAAGCTGGCGGTGAATCGACGGCGACGAGTTGACTCGGCGGTTGAAGATCTGGTTGAGGCGGTGAGGCTGAGTGAGGGGAGGAACACGGCAGCGTTGTGTTCATTGGGGGAATGTTACGAGTGGAAGGAGATGAAAGAGAAGGCCAAGGAAGCGTTTCAGAGAGCCTTGGATCTTGAGCCTGAGTCCGTTAAGGCTCATAATGGATTGGATCGATTGGGCCCGTAAAAATGGATTTTCTTTTTGAAATTGGCCCAAAATTCCCTAACGCCTTTTTTCTGTGTTTGACCCAGTGCCTTTGCCAATAGACTTGTTCTTGTTTTACCAAGGCGGGGTAGAAAAAGATTTGTGCTTGTAACAATTGTTGAATAATAGCTTTGAAAATTGTATAAAAAAAAAAGGCTTTGAAAATTGGCTTGTGAGGTTTTTCTTCTCAATTATGATAATGTGTAAACGAATGTACCAAATTAAAGAAAACTCAAGTTTCAACGTGACAAGAACGCCGGTAACGGATGTAGAATTTTAGTTTATAACATTTTGCTTCATGTCACTCGGTTTTACCGAAACGAGTTCCAAATTTTCCAATAAAAGATACCATGCTTCACGTTTAGAAGCTAATGACAACTGAAATATAGGACATGTTTGATTGTTTTCCATTTTTATTTTCTTCCAATAATCTAGTAAAGTAATTTTTTAAAGCAAGCTTTAAAAATAAAAATAAAAAATAACTATTCGTACTATTATTTTGAAAAATATATTAAAATGATGAAATACAAGGGAAAATAATAATTTATTTTATTAACATAATTGTTATTAATGAAAACAGGATGTTTTCAACAATTTTTTTTCTTATTTTGTAAAACAAGACGTAATAAAACATGAAAAATTGTTCTTGGTTTTTCAGTTTTTTTAAAAATAACTTAGTCATTTTTCAAAATAGATAATAGAAAACATTTTTAAATATTTTTTATTTTTTATTTTCAAAGCAAAAAATTATTTTGAAAACATGTAATTTAAACGAGCTCATAATCTCACTCTAAGTCACATCAGACGTCGATTAATCGTGTCAAGCAGATCCATAAAGTCAGCAAAACTCTCCCAATAATAATTTAAATATGGAGAAAGATTGGGAAAATTCAAATTGGTAACATAACTTCATAAGGTGAAAAAAGCATTTATAAATTCCTGCCCTACTCAATTTATCTTTCAAAAGTCACTTACATGATCCAGCTTCTAACCTGTAAACTGAAACTCTAGCATTTACCAGCACCAACCAAAACCTACCTTAGTTTTCTTTCTTCCCAGTTAAGGTATATTCGATGGGGAGTCAGCTGAACTGTGAGAGATAAACCCTATTATAACTAATGATATGTTAGAAGAAGAGATAACTACTTGACTATATCAGGCGATCAACAAGGCTGATGAGGCCACAGGAAAAACTCAGCAGCAGCCGGCATCGAAGTCATCGGAGCCACAACAGCCGCAGCTGCGGATACAGCAGAATCGACGGTTCCAGAACTGCTAGGAGGATAAAAATGGTGCAAGAGATTGTGGTGGTAATGTGCTGCAGCGGAATCATAGGGAATGCCACAGGGGATAGAAGCAAGTGCAGGTTGAATGGGAGTGAAACTGATAGTTCCACCGTTGGTATTGATCGCGTTTGGATATTGAGGTTGCAGGTTATGGAGGTTATTGCTAGGAAGAACATTGTCTTCTGATTCTGGGGAGTGTTTTGCACGTTTGGCTGATCCACCAACAGGAAGAGTACTCTTCATAATAGCTTCCACATCGTATCTGTTCATCTCAAAGTTCGTCACAGCACCTGCACCTCTGAATTTAATGGCTGCAATATCGTATGCCTCAGCTGCTTCTTCCTCAGTAGCTGTCACAACGTGATATTTATAAACACCAGATTACAATTCTTCTTTTTCCTTTAGGAAAATCGCAGCCTATATATTCTCAATTGCACCTATATTGCTTACCAAATGTTCCAAGGTATAGATCTTTGTTCCCCGCGACACGACCGATTCTTGCTTGCCATCGACCCTGCTGATGATGCCTGCACAAGCAAAAATGGTTGGATATAAAGGATTGCCAAGCTTCGATGATATTATGATTTATTTGTGTATTTTGGATACCTTGTTACGCCTCTGTATATAGAAGCTCCTCTAGAAAAACCGCTACTTTTCCTGCGCAGTGAAGCAATGAATTCTTGCTTCGTTACATGTTTCATCTCCTCCAATTCCTTTGTGTAAGTCGAAACCTGAGAAAATTAGTCGGGTAAGTGTTGCTAATTAAGCATTCAAGTTCTGATGAATGAGTTCAAAACATAAAAGACATTGAAAAAGAATATTACAGGAAAGTTGGTGGTAGCAGTTGGACCCCAGTACTTCAGAGCAGCCAAATCATAAGCTCTTGCGGCCTTATCTTCCTTGTCATATCCTCCTGAAGGCCATCAAGATTCATTAGTTTACAATTGCATCAGGTAAAGTATTTTCTTAGGATAATAGGTCGAGAACGAATATGGAATAGCATTAATGATAAAAATAAATTCTTACCCAGATACACTGTAGAAATGGCCATATGAGCAGTAAACCACGTTCCATGCAAAGGAAAAGGAGATAGATCAGCTTATGAGATTGGTCAAAATGAACACCAAAAATTACTTATCTAATCCGGTAGAGTAAAGTTCCATCGATGCCATATATGGTGCCCGCGCAAAAGCGCCTTTATTTTCATCCTCTTTGTTTCTTTCTATCTTACCCCTCCTTCCTAGCTTCATAGAGCATACGTCTGTACTAGATACGTTTGGCCCACCCTTCTCTTGGTACAAGGGACCAATCAATGTCCAATATGGTAACAAATTAAAACCATAGAGCTTAGAGCTTGACCCCATAAATTAATTTGCTAATACTCCTAACGAACCAAACATGGTCAAAGAAATACCGAATTGCCTTTCCTTAATAGACTGGAAAAAAGATATCCGACAAAAACGCTTTTTTCCCTCTCTCTCTCCTTTATTTATTTATTTATTTATTTATTTTGAAAAAGTGAGACTACATGAACTCCTTTTTTATGTTAGATGAGCCTGCAACACAAGATCAAAGGGACCCGTGAGTCCGTGAGTATGTCTCAGAATGAAGAGGACATTATAAGATTCGCCTCTGTCAACGAGCTTTCAGTTAACAGTGGCAATGTAAGTACAATTTTTCAAAACAGGTGCTATGGTCAAACCCAGCTTTCCCCTGCCGAGCGAAAGTAAAAGCGAAAGCAAAAGTTTAGTCTCAACACAAAAGCATCGACGACAGAGTATTCAGAATTCAGCTCGTATAGATGATAGATAGATCATAGGTGTCTATAGTACCGTCTGAGGCGAGGACATGGATTGGGAGAGAGAGATCCCAAAATGATAGTCCAAACACTTCATACAATAATAAATAAAGCGAAACCCACGTGGCCGAAATGGCGGCACAGTGGATCAAATCAATTGAATGAAGTTGCAGAACCATGAGATTACGAGTACGCGTATTTTACATCAGTCAATCATGAAAAAAGGCTGTTTAGAAAGAAAACTCAGGTGTCCTATCCCTCAATATACAAAACATCAATGCGTTTTGAATTCATGCACACTCTCTTTGCAGTTTCCGGCTTACAGAACTTTCGCCAAAAAAGAACCGCCAGCAAATTCCTAATTTCTGATTTTCTCCTACTATTATTATCATTATTATTATTATATCATTACTTCTATTTAATTTTTTCAATCACATCCACATGCAGCACAAATGGTGTATGGAACACGCACTTGCGCGGAAAACACAAAAGACAAAACAAGTTTTATTTTCACTTAAAATTTTAGGCGAGAGCATTTGTCTCTGCAAAAATCGTGGGAAAGGTAATTTTATGCTCCTAAATCAACAGACAAAGGTTGGAGATTGCGATGAGTTTCCGAAGCTCATGGAGGTCAAAGATAGTTTCGCTACGCAACAAAACTTCGGTTTATAGAGATAGAAACGAACCTTGACGTCCTTTCCTCGCCTGACCCTCTCTTCTGCAACTGTTATCCCATAGATGCGCTTCATATCTTCCAGTCCATCGGTGTCTGAATCAACGAAAGAAGAAAATAATTATTATAAAAGTTTACTTTCAACTAAAATATTGATGAGTCAATCAGAAATTTATTGGTACCTTGTAACGCCTCTGTAGATTGAAGTTCGCTGACCAAATGTATCGGCGACTTTCTTCTTGCTATCCGAGTCCACCGCAACAATGGCTTTCTCACGGCTTTGAGTGACGCCCAGGGACAAAGCACCCGTCGTGCAACCGGAGAACGCCACTTCGTTCCCAGAGGACTCGATCGCAAACTCCCCACAAGCAGCCTGATGAGCAGTCTTGGCCATGGAAGCCGAGTCTTCTACCTCGGAGCCGGAGTTCGCAGAGAAAGCTTGAAACCCAGCGATTGCTTTCAGATCCTGAGGATCGCCGAAGTAGCCGCCGCCGCCGCCTCCCTGCTCGTATATCTGAGTCAGCGACGAATCTTGCGTCTCCGTTTGGCTGTCGGCGTAGCCCAGAAAATCTTCCAGCTTCGGAACTCCATCGTTCTGATTTTGTGGGCCCGTCAAGCTGTCTCCGGTTTGGTTTTGTTCTACTTGGCCATAGTAATCTGCTTGTGACTTCAGATTCGGCCATCCTATACGAAAATCAAACCAAACCCACAACAATATTTTCTAGTTAGCACTAGAAAACACACAAAAGAGAGAAAAGCCAAGAAAATTTTCACGTGGCGTTACGTTACCATTGGCATAGAAATTATCGACGAAGTAATGAGAGTTGTTGTTAGCAGAGAGATTGTCGTATTGGACGAACTGAGAATCGGAGGAGGATCTCAACATTTCCATCGGCGACAGCGAAAACGACAGCCAGTTTGTAGCGCGAGCCATATTGTGTTCCCTTATGTGAAGTCTGACTTAAAATTTTCCCCCCTTCTTCTTCGGTTTCCCTGAATGATAACAGAAGAAGCTATCTAGAGATCATATTTTTAAAAACAAAACTTTGGAAGAAACAAACAAAAATTGCAATAAAGAGCAGTTGCAAAGTAAAAGCCCAAAACTGGAAACCACCTCAGTGAGCTTTAGGCGTTACTGAAAGCTACTCCACCATGCGGCCGAGAGTTCTTGGAAAGAAACAGAGAAAACTTGGAAGCAAGGATGGATTCAGAATCAGTTTCTAAAAGCATTGGGATTGGGACTGAAAGGGGTAGGAGGAAGATGGCGAAGAAGAGGTTACACAGGAACTCGCATGCAAGTTAAGCATTGAAGGAGATTTAATGTTTTCAGTCAAAGACGGAGAAAAGAGTGAAAGAGAAGGATGAAGAGAATGGGGAAAGCAATGAAGTGTAGTGTTTATAAGGGAGAGAGATGAGCGGTTTCAGTAGCCAACCGGCGTGAAACGAGAGCGATGAGCTTTTACACTGGGAAAGAGAGAGAGAGAAAGCTAGTTTGGGAAATAAATGAAATCCAATAATAAATAATTTAAAGGAGAAACAAAAGGAAAATTGAGTGATGTGGCCTTTTGGATCTGAGCGAAAGAAAATTTGTCTGACTGAGAATGGTCCACGGGAGCGGAAATTGTAGGCTCTGTTTGGAATCGTTTCAGTTTCAATTTTTTTTCCCCCTCTTGCCAGGATGGTCTCTCTCGATGCCTGTTTTGATTTTTTTTTTTTTTAAAGGCCTCTCTTCTCTTTTTCTTTCTCCAAAAAAAAAAAAGGAAAATATATGAAGAATTTTAAAGGACATTAGAGTTTTGACACACTTGGCGTCCATGCACCTTTCTTCACTAGCGGTCCGGTTCAGTGGGGTCCGGCTTGTTTGGATGTTTTTCGCTCCGACCCAACATTCAACCAACTCAAATTTCTTGATTAAATATAAATTTTTATAGTCATATCTAATTCACCTTCTTAATATTTTGTCTAATTTTCTAATTATAGTTATATTATAATTATAACAATTGGTTGCGTGTTTTACATTCACAGGTGACTGGAAAATATGCTGTGAAAATTAACTGCCTACAGGGATCTTAACAAAGTTTTCCATAACAAAAAATATATTAAATTATTTTTTTGTTTAAATTATGTGGGGAAAAAAAAAGTTAACGTATTCGCATACCCTTTTGACTTTCTGCTCAAAATAAATGCCGCTGATCGGTTAAATTGGTCACTTACCAGTAACTTCTACCTTGCCATTGATCAGATTATCTCTTAGCCACTTCAAGAAATAACTCGTCATAAAAATGATTAAAAAAAATTATATACTCCATGCCACATCCAATGTCCTTAATACAAGACTACTTCTAGAATCTTTTCATAAACCATAATTAAAAAAAAACTTTTTAAAAGATTTTTTTTTACCAACAACTGTTTACAAAATTAATTAAAAGTGAAGGATTTATAATATATTCCGAAAATTGGCTTTCATGCAATTAACCTTCCATTAATTATGAATAGTAATCTTTGACTTGCTTTCAAAAAACAAAGTTCAAAATTTATTGGGATGAGGGACTAATTAATGTTATGATATTAATGACTTTAATTAAGAATATTTTTAGAATATTCAATAATAACTTTTGAAAAAATAATATCATCATAATATTGAATAATTTTAACAATTTTCCTTAAAATGTGTTATCTATTTATTTCCCTCTCTATATAAATATATAATTTCTCCTATCTTAATTATGGGAAGAGTTTTAAAATCTTATTTAATTCTAAATATAGGGTAAAAATGTAGTAATTTTTTTCAATATTACCCATTCTTAATTGTGTGCTGGGAGAAAAATTTTAAGGGAGAACTACATCTAAGGATCACTTAATAAAATTATTTATAACTAAGGATCAACAACAAGTCTTATTTCATAAAAATTAAGTCACATTCCCATTTTAATAACAACTCATTTTTTATTAGTCATTATTTGTGAATAATTTTCTTAAGTGATTATTGGATGGAACTCTCTCAAATTTAATTTCAATTCATAGACATACCTTATTATAGTCGTTGATTTTAATGAAAAGCAAAACGAACGTAAAATATTTTTATAAGTTTATAGATGTTAACTATATTGTTTGAAGAATAGTAAATTATATTCCTTTCATTTCTTATTATAAAGCACGTCTAATTACCCCACTAAAATTAATGAGATGTAATTAAGTTATAGATTAATGAGTATTTTGGATTCTAGAATATTGTGCGAAAAGCATCTTGAACCCTGAACTCTTAAAATATGCAATGTTTCTAAATTTTTAAATTTATAGTAAATTAAATCTCACCGTTAACTCACCATTAGTGCCGTTACAGTTCACTCAATGGGGTTCGGTCAAAATGCTAATGTGAAAGTCCCTTACTAATGTACCATTTTTAAATAGCATCACAAACCATAAATTATTGCCCGAGTAGCATCCTAAATCTTAAACTTTAAATTTCATAGCAAATTACTCCCATAATTATGTGTAGAACACTGACTATTATGTAAATTAAATTAGTCTCAGCATGGTCCGCTGCAGTGAATGCATTGTTGGCCTCGGTGAACAACCCATAATTTTATGAAATGACATTTTTTGTTCCTTTTTTTGTAATATTTTTCAGATGATTGGTATCTCACGCTTTCATATACTCTATAAATCTAATTTAATCTTATTTTAAATAATTTTTATTTATTTAACAGTAAAAACTTGGGAGCTCATTCAAAAACGAGTTTAAATATTATGGAATTTTACAGACAATAGATGCAAAGCTAACAACTTTATCAACAAATCTCAAATCCAAATCAACCAGTTAATTAAAATCTTAAATACTTTTTCAAATGAAATCCTAAGTTTTTATCATTAAATAAATAAAAATTATTCAAAATAAGACTAAATTAGAGTAATAGAGTATATGGAAGCATGAGATACCAATTATTTGAAAAACATTGCAAAAAAAGGGGCCACAAATGTCATTTCACAAAGTTATGGGTTGTCCGCTGTAACCAACAATGCATTCACCACAACAAATTATGCTAAAGCTAATTTGATTTACATAATAGTTAGCATTCTACATGTAAATGGTGGGGGTAATTTTCTCTAAATTTCAAAGTTAAGGTCTAAGATGCTACTTATGTAATAGTTTAAGTTCTGTGGTGCTAATTAAAAATAACACATTAATAAGGGACTATCACATCAGCATTTTGACTAGGCTCTATTAAGTAAACGGTAATGGCATTAATGGTGAGTCAATGATGGAGTTTAATTTATTATGAATTTTAAAATTTAGAGTCCATTTTGCACATGTTAAGAGTTTAAGATTTAAGATGCTTTTGGTGTAATACTTCAAAGTCCATAATGTTCATGAACCCTTAAGTTATTGATTTTATTTGAAAATAAAACAAACTTTCAATTTTACCTTTATTTATATGAAAAATTTTCAAATCTGTATTGCATTCTCTCTCATAGTTATAAACAAGTTTAAATATGGGTCAAAAAATATAATTAAAACACCATCAAGTACCTAATATAAGGACCAAATAATTCTTCTAGGAGGCGAAAATTAGAGGATGTACATACTTTGTTCTTATAAAACACTCCTCTAGTTTTATTTTATTTATAGGAGGAAAAGAGATTATTTGTGTTGGTCATCATATTTATAGGTTATTTTAAGAATTAACATATTCATCTTTATTTTTTTATCCCTATTAAATGTTGGAACGATTATTGAATGTTAAAATATTTTATTTTTAAAGCATGCATGTTTAATAAAAGTAAAATTAAAAACTTATTAAATTTTTAAATAAAATTAATGAGGTTTAAGATGTTCTTTAATTTTGTTAAAAATTGATGGAAGTGATTTAAAAATAATACTAGAAGGAGTATAATACATATTTTAACAGCATACTATCTCTTACCAATATTCAATTGAGAGTAAAAAAAAACTTATGATAAAAAATATGACATAACTTATAAATAGGATTAAAATATTTTTTTTCTTCATCTTATAAATAAAGCCGGGAGAATATTTGACTTGTAAGATTATTACACATAAATTAAAAATACAATAAAATATATAAAAATGTCATTGGCCTTTAAAAGCATTATAAAAATAAAAAGTAATTATTCCAAGAATAAAACAGAAAAAATGTTATTCAGTATTGCTTTTTTTTTTAAATATGGAATATGAATCAATCAATTTTTTTCTCTAAAAAGACAAATATTATAAACCAAAAATATATATATTAGTTGTTGCTGTGATTTTATATTTAATACCAAAACATAATTATCTTTAACATGAGTACAATTTATATACTTCCTCCGGTAACACATTTTTTTCCAAGTTTAGATGTCAAAAAATATAATACATCTTTAATGTTAATGCTTTTACCAAAAGTGCCCCTTAAAAATAAGTTACTTTATATTTATTTTAAAGTTAAACATTCTATTAAATAGGATTAATTATAAAAAGATAGTGTTAGTTGAAAAATAATTAATTATTTTATTAAAAGTATAATTATATTAAAAATATTTTTATATTTTTAAATGGAGAGTATAACTAAAAAGAAAAACTCCCCTGCACTTATAACATAACTGATGCATCCTGACATAGATCCAAACACGTTGATAGTAAGTGGCAGCCAAGGCGCCCATGAAATGGATAGATTTAAAGATGACACGTCACAAACACACTCGATGAATATCCGCCAACAAGAACCAAGCTAATCAAGCACTCATTAGTCGAGTAAATCTGATATTAATCACCTATATCGAAGAAAGAGCCTGGTTACTTTAAGCCACGTCTCTTCGTCAACAAGAAGAGCAATTGTTTGGGATCAGAGCAAAACATGTTACTGATAGTTGACAGTTAGGATTAAATGAATTAAGAGGCCATTAGCAACATCAAGTTGCTGTACACTACAGAGAGATTAAAGAAACGAGAGAGAGAATGTGCGTGGTAGACCGGTGAGCGGGAATACGGGAAGCAGAGAACTGTGGGGGAGGTCGAAAGGCTATGTAAAAGACGAGTTTAGGTACATAATGGTTGTGTCACTTTTAAGGTTAATTTTGAATGAATTCTGGAAACATGCCTTCACAATACAGTGCCGATGAACACGCATTGTTCTCTGCATTTTACTGCTCCCTCACTCCTCCCTTTTTCATATAGCAGCATCCAATGCTTCTTATAATTTAATTAATGTTCCCTTTAATTAACTATTCAACGCACATATACACGCCACATTTTACGTTTAAATTCTAAGTCTCTTTCTAGTTTTTAACCCCCTTGGTTGATTTATTACTATCCTATTTTATTCGTATGTGAAAACTACTGGACCTTTAGGTATTTAAGTATTTTATACCCTTTATGTTTTAATCTAGCTAAAGCAAGCAGTTAGCTGGAATAATATATTGTCTTATTTATAAGACAGAGA